TATAAAATACTAAATTGTGCTATTTGGAACTAGTCAAAGATGTCAATTGTAGCCTTTCATAGCTCTTTTCCATCTCAGGATAATGCCTACCACAGAACAATACAGCAATAAATACAGCACTTTTCAAATGAAGGAATGCCATTAGTTACCTATTCACCTTTTGTTTCTAGACATATTTAAGGGTTTAGAATTTACATTCCCATTAAATTTAGCTATAAATATACCAAAATACATAACTACAGATAGCACTAAGCAAGTCAATGTAACTGAATTCACAAGTATTAAAATTGCTAACATGTCTTTCAGGTATTAAAATAGAATTTTAAAGAATTAGAAGTTAAGGGGCACCTGGATGGCTTAGCTAAGCGTCTGACTGTTGATGCTCAGGTCTTGGTCTTAGGGTCATGGGTTAGGGCCCCATGTTGGGCTTCACGCTGGGTGTTGCACTTACTTTATTTTTGTTGTTGTTGTTGCACTTACTTTAAAAAAAATTAGAAGTTAAAAAATTAAGTTTCTAGCCTTATTGAGTACTTACTATGTACAAGGCACAAATCTAGACTTGAGGGTGAAGTAGGGGTGTTGTATAAGATGCTGGCCCCTAAGAAATTTATGGTTTACCTGAAATTTCAAGGTATAATGCTTATAATGCTCATGTCCAGAGAAGGTATTCTGTGAGAGGAATGCTTATATGTAATCATTCAAAGAAAAACCCTGAAGTTACATTAAGTGCTGAAAAGGGAACATGAAGAATTTTGTACTTCAAACATATCATGTTAAATAGTTAACTTTAGTTTGAGCTAAAGTGGGATTTTTAGAGAAACAATATTATATATTGTTTTTTACACTTTGTATTACACTTTGAATACTTGGGCAGGAGGGGACCCTGAAAAGAAAATTGGCGTTGGTAAGAAAAAGTATAGACACATTTGTAATTGTAGCTAATCAGTATTAACATATTTGCTTAGAAGGGGAAGTCAAGGGAATGTACTAATTAAACCTCTGTAAGAGAGGAAAGATTTATTTTGATTACTCAACATCAATGGCTGGTCATGTTGGCCAGCCTTCTGCATGTTGGCCTTCTGCCAGATAAAAGGAGGAGAACAAGAAAATTTATAGAGATGCTCTTGAGAGCAACAGCAGCATTGTTCAGGAAAAGAGGGGGGAAATGCTGCATTGATGAGCTAAGATAAGCTACAAGTACAGAATGTGCAAAATAGAGCACACACTGGCTGTTAACATGGTGTATCAGCTGATCTGTATCCTTACCCGAAGAAATTTTAGCTTCAGTCCTGTTCTCTTTGCGTTCTAAGTGTTGTATCTGATTCTTTCTTGGAAATCCTTACACCTTACACATCTCCAGCCCAGATACCCTGCAGGCTTCTTTAGGGCAGATTATTTAGCTTTCAATCTTGCCTCTCTACAAAGGAACAGTTATAGCTGTGTAACTTTAGGCAAGTTATTTAATTTATTTGTTGTTAAATATAAATGGTGTCAGCCTCTTACATTGTTGTGAGGATTAAAGAGAGTTCCTAGAACAGAGAAAGCACATAGTAAATAATAGTTATCATTATCCTAATATCATTAGAGGGCAGTGCTGTTATAGTGTTCTATCTTCCTCAAATACTTACCTTCATTGGCCCAGAATCATTAAAAATGTTTAACATTGTTTTCTTATTTCTTGAGTCTTGGTGGTGTGTTAGAGGCAGCTGTTTTCTTTCTTCTTTAATTATTATTTTCTTTTAAGTTAGCTCTATGCCCTACATGGGGCTTGAACTCACAACCCCAAGATCAAGACTTTCATGCTCTACCAACCAAGCCAGCCAGACATCCCTAAGGCAGCTGTCTTCAAACTCTGTTTTCTGAACAGTTTTAAGGGAGGTAATTTTTTTTTAAGTTAAGCAGGATTTATTTTCGTTTGTATGAGGATCCTCTTACAACAGGTTTATTCAATTCTCCTAAAAATAGTGGCATTCTTTTAAACTATTCTTTTTAGAAACAGCAGTTACATAAATAGAATATTGGATTCAACCTAAAAATGTGGGCCCTAGTTAGCTTTATTATTCTGCATATGATATGACAAAAGATTGAGATGTTCTTCACATTTCCAAGCAAATTCCAATTTAAAAAGTTTGTTCTTATCAAACTTCTAAAAACAGCCATTTGAGAGTAAACCAGCAGAGTACTATATCACCCCCAATGAAGTGCAGATGTCATTCTATGCACCAACAAATGACATGGCTAGCTTCTGCATTCCATTTTTACAGAATTTTACACCTATTACACCAAACAATATTTTAAACATTGGCATATAAACTCCCTAATAAGATAAAGCAAAGACAGAAGTGTTTATCAGAAACAAAATACACCATCTCTTACAATCTTCAAACATTATTGCACTTTAACTTTAATTTTGATAATGCATTTATGGAACAGCCTGTAGACAACTGATTTTAATAAAGAACACTTTTAAGCAGACATAACTGTCCTAATTGTTTATCAGGTAAGAATTTCACAAACGTTATTAGCAGTAATGGTGGAGCCAGAGAGTATTGCATCATCCCCCATGCTGTATAGCAAGAACCACTAATAGTGTGGTGGAACTTGTGACCTTTTCTAAGGCCATGACTCTTGTGGCCTGCAGATGTCAGCCCTCATGTCTCCCTATGCTGGTGTGCTGGTTTAGTGATCCACCAGGTATCAGGATTTCTTATGATAGCTTTATGGAATGGATCATTGAGGATAACCTCAAAGAATTTGTACATGGAGTTTTTGCCAACCCAGTAAGAATTCAAGACTCTCAGCCCCACAATGGCATCTAGCTCACTCCTCTGCAACAGATTGAAGGCTTTGGGCAAACTTTAGTTGTTTAACACCATGGTGGACAGGCTTGCCCTGTCTTACCCTTAGGAACTGGGCTTTTTTGGCCACCACATTGCACATGAATCCACTATATGATACCACTTTGCTTGGTCTTGTATACAGGAGGTACTTTTGGATTAAAAAATATTTTATTCAATGACGAATACCCACCATTTGCTTCAACGTGGATAGAGGGTATTATGCTGAGTGAAATAAGTCAATCGGAGAAGGAACAAACATTATATGGTTTCATTCATACGGGGAATATAAAAAACAGTGAAAGGGAGTATAGGGGAAAGGAGAGAAAATGAGTGGGAAAAATCAGAGAGGGTGACAGAATATGAGAGACTCCTAACTGGGAAACGAACATGGAAGGGGTAGTGGAAGGGGAGGCAGGCAGCGGGATGGGGTGACTGGGTGATGGTCACTGAGGGGGGCACTTGACAGGATGAGCACTAGGTGTTATACTATATGTTGGCAAATTGAACTCCAATTAAAAAAAATACAAAAAATATTTTATTCAAATTTCATCTGTAAATTTTAACTGTCTTAAAAAAAACTAATTTGTGAACTCAAGTGTTATAAAGCACTTATAGTAGTAAAGGCTCTTACTGTATTAACATGCTGCCAAGTTAATTCATTTCTGTGCTTTTCCTATCATCTGTTAAGTCAAAGGTTATCCTGATGGTTTTTTTTTTTTTTTGAGATTATGTTGTGCTCTTTATTGCCAAAAATAAAAACTTTTAAAAAGACAACTCCTGTTAATAAATATCCCTTCCTTTCTGTACCAGATCTCTGGTTTGCTCCTGGCTTCTCCCACCGACTAATTAACTACTTTAGGCTACAGAGTCAAGGCCAGACCTTCAGTAAGGGCCTCACTCCCCAATCCCAAACTTAAATCATCAGGCCACTGGCAGTGAAGTTTGTAACTGATGAGTAGAGAATGAAATACAGGGTTTATCTGGGGGTGGGGGGCAGCCAGAGTCTAACGCTATTCTTTAAAGGTAAAAGAGGGATACTTGGGGATCTGAATGAAGTACCAGTACGCTGGCTCTGGGCAGAGACTGGAAGGGTTTGTAGGGAACCACTAGGTTCTAGGACTCAATCCTAACACCAGAAGCCCAACGCACAAATGTGAAAACTCCCAACATTTGGACAGGACAGAAAGGGTTTAAAGACCCCAAATCCTGATGGTTATCCTGATGGTTAACTATAGAAAATAATAACAGGGGATCTCTGGGTGGCGCAGCGGTTTAGTGCCTGCCTTTGGCCCAGGGCGCGATCCTGGAGACCCGGGATCGAATTCCACGTCGGGCTTCCGGTGCATGGAGCCTGCTTCTCCCTCTACCTGTGTCTCTGCCTCTCTCTCTCTCTCTCTCTCTCTCTCTGTGACTATCATAAATAAATAAAAATTAAAAAAATAATAACAAACTACAAAAAATAACTTGCTGCCATTTGCAGATACTGCTCTCCATCAATTTTAATTTACAATCAAAGTACAAAAGTTAATACAATTCTGCAGTGGATATTTAGGAATGCAACTGACATACATAGCTCTTACTTTTTGCTTTGTATTAGTCTGAAGAGACTTATTTATTCCCATTGATTTTTATAATAAATTCATTTTATAAAGCCAAATTAATACATCTATTCTAATTGTGGATTTCTCTGATACTTTGGGGAAAAATACATATTTATAAGTAAATATTCCTTGGTAAGCATTTATTGACACTGTTGTGTGGCAGGCATTATGCTCTAGGCTAAGGATATATTTGACAGGCTACAAACTTCTAGCCTTTGGCTAAACACAAACCTACCTGTTGGGTTTCCACATAATTGTGCATTTAGAAGAAAAAAGACTTTAGGGGATCCCTGGGTGGGTCAGTGGTTTAGTGCCTGCCTTTGGCCCAGGGCATGATTCTGGGGTCCCGGGATCGAGTCCTGCATCGGGCTCCCGGCATAGAGCCTGCATCTCTCTCTGCCTGTGTCTCTGCCTCTCTCTCTCTCTCTCTCTATCATGAATAAATAAATAAAATCTTAAAAAAAAGAATACTTTATTGATTTAAGAATACTTTGAAACCCACAATTTGTAAAGTGCCCAATTTCTTCCAGTCAGTTGACTATCACTTTTGCTTTTGCAGAGGTCCAGCTGGAGTAAGAGCCCAAGCCCTGGACAGAGATGGAAATCTGGTAGAAGATTTTGTATTTGATGGAGGAATTGGGGATATTGGAAATCGCATTCTTCATGTGAGAAATGCACCGTCCCCTGCTGCTACTTCTTCTCTTGCAATTTCTGGAATGATTGCAGATGAAGTACAACAAAGATTTAAATTGTAAATAATGTAAGGAGCTAGATATGCATTTTAGTTTCCACATTCAGCAACAAGAATATACTAATTGCATTCTTTAAGGAAAATGATTTGTAAATCTCATTTTTAGGTATCTCATTTAGGTAATAACTGAATTGTTAGAATGCTATAACATAGAAATTATAATTTTTTAAAGTCCATGCTCTTTTACTTTGTGAATAAAGAAGCAAGGTACAGTTGTATCTGTCCTGAATCCCTGACTTTGTTTTTGACCTCTCCTCACCAACCATGATCTAGATATTTGGCTCTTCTAGAATTTCTGGGAACGATGGCACAAAAAATTGATTATCCCCTTCATTTTTTGCCTTTATAATATCTAAGCTTTTTTTTTTTCTCTACTGAACAAAAAAAATATAGTGTGTTGTAGGTTGCAAACCTTTTAATTTTGAAGAGTATAGGAAAGCTCACATTATTTAGAGCAACAGTATTTGTATTTGGAGATTTAAACTTCTTGACTTAAAGGAAATATATGAAATTTCACATTTTTAAGTAGTTTGAATAAGATTCTATCTTAGCTATAATATTTGCAGGAACTGACTTTGCAAAAGAAACATAAAGCCTTTATTATTCCCAGTCTTTTTATAATTGACTTAGTGTGCAGTTACCACTAAATCCAAACAGCAGTACAGTATGAGTGGTTAATTGCCTACTCTTTAGTCTTTTGTGGTTGAGAAACTAAAAGAACTTAAAACTGATAGGTTTTTATGAGAGCAGTTTTAGAATCCTGAATGCTGATATATAGAACTCTAATTTTAAAAATTGTTTACCTCTATATCTCTGTTTTTCAGTCATACCAACTTTCTCAAATATTGGCCAAGATCACTAATTATTCATGCCTACTTGGTTTTCAGGGATCCTATGAACTTTTATGATGCTATTTCTTTATTTTGGAGAAATACCTAACTGAGGCATTCACTTTTGTAAACCGCAAAAGTGCCTTACGTTCATGTATACTTCATGAGTATTTTCAATTGTGGCCCAGTGCCAATACTGTATACTGTATATACATGTGTGGTATCTGTTGAAATAATTCTGGCAGTTCAGAAAGTTGGAAAATAGAAATATTAAATGAATTTATGGCAGCCTACTGATTGGGGAAACTTTTATTACAGAACCGCCATTTAGGTGAGACATTTTCATCCATTCCCTCATATATACTGTCTCAGGATTAATCTTCTACTCTTCATTCTTTCTTCTTCTTTCATCAAATCTGTGTGATAGATGAGTAAGGATGTGCATAATGACTGATAGGAAAAACTTCTGTTTTCTTCCTTTTTACTTCAAGCCTCAGTGATTATATTGTTTGAGCTACCTCAACCATTAATTTGAAAGGCTACATCACCAGCTCATGTTCGAGAAGTAGCACATCCCAGGTATAGACTAGGCAATTATTTGACACTGGGATGAGCATATTGAAAGCATTCAGAAACCACTCACAGAAGAAGCCAGCCTTAATGGTTCTTCATAACAACTGATTCCTCCAAGAAATGTGACACACAGGATATTTTTCTGTTCCATTACAAGACTATTAAGAGATGGAAAATTTTACAATTCTTTATTTCATAAACAGTGAGATTGCATATATACTAAGCTGTGAAAGACTGAAATTACAAAAATAGCTCTTCTAAATTAAAGCAGCCCTTATTCCATTTGGGTCTATATTATATCCCCAAAAAACAAGTGAAAAAGATGATTGAAAGTGTTTTGAATGTGTAGGTTATTCTGTTTGTAAAACATATTTATATTAATCGGGTTTTGTTGTGTAATACTGGTATGAAATTTAAAAGTTTTGTGTATTTGAGAGAGAAAAAATGTAAATTAATATTAAAATATTTTAATGAGCCTTGGTGTTGTGAACATAATTTTTTGTTTCATTGAAACTCTGATTCAGGTAAGTTTTTTGTATGTGAAATATGAACTATCATATTTTCATAAACTATCATTTATATAGCCAATCTTAAAAAATGAAAAAAGTATATTTGTGTATAATATAAAAATTAGGTTTATATTTTAGGTAAAAAGTAGAGCACTTCCCCACTTAGTTTCCTTTCGGTAATGGTGGCACCATCTGGCTGACCTCAATGTCTTCATACTGGAGAGCACCAGGGAACATTGTTTCTGTTCCATAGCAGAGTATATATATGTAACATATAAACACACAGTGCTTTACAGGTGGAAGGGACAATAAATCAATCAAATAGGAGTTTCATAAATAATCATAGTTTCTCTGAGGAAGACATTCTGGTATGCTATCTCTTACAGGGTTGGGTTTCTGGGTATAAGCCTCCCGTAAGGGTTATAGGGCAAATGATCAGTCTGAGAGCTTGCTCTAACTTCTTCTTAGCAGGTGAACTGTAAGAGGACCAGAGTTAGCTACAGCAACAAACCATGAAAGTGAGTGACAATGACATTTATTGTTTCCTGTGGCATTGCTTTGGTTTGCTTCTGACTGGCAGCACTTGTAGCTTTAAATAAATTGAGGAAGTAGAGAGTAAATAGGAGAAATGTTGAGTAAGTCCTTCTTGAAAATGCTTTTCAGTGAGAGAATATTAGTGGTAAAATTTTCATTGCCTTTTAAAATTTGAAATGTGCTTAGATTATTCAAGTTATCTCCCAAAAGCCATTCTAAATTCTAAAAAGACAAAATTACTATTTATCAAATAATTAATATAGCATATTAATTTTAACTCAAATTTATGATCAAGTATAATATCTTTGTGTTTAATACTTAATTTTTAAAAAAGATTTTAAGTAATCTCTACACCCAATGTGGGGCTCAAACACAACCCTGAGATCAAGAGTCGCAGGCTCTATTGGCTGAGCTAGCCAGGTGCCCCAATATTTATTTTTTAACACTTGAAGCAAGTGTTTATAATGGGGTTGGAAATTTTTTATTTAAAAATTTAACATTTTGAATAAGTACATTAATGGTTGAAAATTCAAAAGTCCCCAAAACGTATTCAATGAAAATATCTCCTCTCCTCCAAGCCACCTAGTTCTCATTCCTGATGCAACAAAAATTGTCAATATCTCTTGCTCAGCCTCATAGAGGTATATATAATAAAATTCTTCCTCCATTTCTTTTACACAAGTGGTAGGATACTCTGCATACTATGTTATATGCCCTGCTCTTTTCACTTTGCACTGTCTCTGATAATGTTCAAGTGGCCTGAACACAGTGGCCTGGTTCTTTTTGAATGATTTTGTAGCTTCTTTTCTATAAATTTACTATTATTTGTTGAACCAGGTTCTTATATATACTGATGATAATTTAAATTGTTTATTTCTGGGGTACTTTTGTTTTAGCTGACACAGTACTGCAGTGAATAGCTGTTAAATCGTTTCACATGTGAGCGAATATACCGATAGGACATATTCTTAGAATTTGCTGGGTCAAAGGGTACAACTTCCTGGTAGGTCAAGTTGCCCTTGGTAGAGGTTGAACCAATTTAAGCTCTCATGAATAATATATTACAGTACCCGTTTCCCCATTGTCTCACCAACATAGTATATAATCAGACTTTTTGATGTGCGTGGCTATTCTAATAGGTACAAAATTAATAGAGTAAATTTTTTGCAATATGAGTGAAATTGAGCATTTTTAATATACTTAAGAGACATTTATATTTCCTTTTCTGTGAACCATTTTTTCATATGTTTTATCCATTTTTCCCTTTAGTTTTAGTCCTATTAATTTATAGGAATTATTTTAAGTAGGCCACATGTGTAGCTCCACAAGGGGCTTCAACACACGACCTTGAGTTTGAGACCTGCCTGAGCTGAGACCAAGAGTCAGACTCTTAAAATTCTGAGCGACCCAGGTGCCCCTGTAGGAACTCTTAGATATTAGGGAAATGAACTATTTAGAAAATGAGTTGCAAATATTTTTTTTCAGTTTGTCACCTATCTTTTGGCTTACCTTGTGATTTTTTTCCCATTCATTTTTAAAGTCAGTTTATCAATCTTGTAGATTTTATATCGTAGTAAAAAAGTCTTTTGTACTTAAGTTATTAACAAATTATTTTATGGCTTTAATTTTTTACATTTAAGTCTTTGACACTCTGCAGTTTATCCTAGTGTAGAGTGTGGGGTTCGGATCCAACATTTTATTCTAGATGGCCCATTTGTCTGGTTGCGATTTTTACGGGTGTCATTCTTGGATTATCCCCACATGCACATGGATCATATTTCTGTTTGCCTAGCCCAGAGATCACAACTCAGATGCCTGTAGAGACTAGGCAGGTTATATAAAAGGGTGAAGAGTGCCAGGTAGGGAGTATAGCCAAGTGGAAATGGGATGGGGTACTTTTCTAAAGAGGACAGCCACAACCCAGTGCCTGCTGATTATTTCTTTGCAGGAGTGCAGCAGGGCCCGGTGTTGTGAGATTTTTGTCAAGAGAAGCTGGAAATCCATTTTTATATAAAATCTCTTGATTTTAAAATGTTAGCAATTTTAAAATTTAAATATAGTTTGTATAAACAGAGTGTCTTCAGGCCAGATTTGGCTCAGAGAAGGCTTCCAATATCCTTGGCCAACAATGAAACTTACCGCTAACAACTTAACTCTCCTATAAGAAAATACAATCACAGTTTAATAGTTTGACACCCCATTAGGATACAGCTGGAGTTCTGGAAAAGGAGAAAAAAGTGAAGACAGTCTATATAAGCCAAAGTCTTTGCCATCACTGATTGAAAAAGTAATTGGAGAAATGCAAGCATTTCACTATCCTTTTTTCCCAAGTACCTCGGAATGCGGATGTAGGTGACTTTATTAGAAGAAAATTGTGATTCAGTGGATACTTGGATTAGAAAAATGAGTTTTTTTAATTTAATTTTAATTTTGTACCTATTAGAATTTAATTTTTCTAATCGCTCTGCCATTCTGATTTTGCCAAATGACAAATTGGTTTGTGTTTTGTGTTTTGGAAAGGATAACTGTTTATTTACCAACCCTGGAAGTGAAGTGTAGCACAGATTCCCTCTCCCCCCCCCGCCCCAACCCTGCTCTTCCTTTCCCTTCCTCATTGCTGGTTGCTGATCCCACTGTGTGCCGTAGGCTTCCCACGTCTCACCGCCTTCAATCCCCAAAACATCACTCGATGAAATAGTTCACCATCTCCCATACACAATAGCCATGTAGAGCACACAGCCCGAACGTCGTCTCTCCATCCTGAACTTCTTCCCGTGACTGCGATACTGGGGCTCAGAGTGGCATCGAATCAGGCCCGTCTCGGGAAGGTCGAGAGAGGGGAGCGTGTGTGTAAAACGCAGTACAGTTGGGTGGTCTGTGACCAGGGCCCCCGGCAGGCCCCGGCACAGGCCGACCCCCCCCCCCCGCCCCGCCAGCCCCGGAGCCCCCGCAACCCCGCGACCCGCCGGCGCCTCAGCCGGCTCCGCGGCGCGCATGCTCCGTGTGGGGCTTCTCCGGCGACCCGGGATAATGAGTGCCGGGCCCAGGGGGCGGGCCGAGCGGCGACTGCTGGAGCCCGGAGCTCGGAGGCTGCCCCCGGGCGCTGTGCGCGGCTGCCGCGGGGCCGACGGCGGCCGCCAGCGCTGTGCGCGGGAGTGGGGCTCGCCCGCCCGAAGCGCACGCCCGCTCGGTCCCCAGGGCCCTCTGGAGGTGACCCGGGCGGGCCGGGCGGCGCTGCCTGTTGGGAGGGCGGGGATGAGGCGATGAGGAGACGAGCTGCCGCCGCCGCTCGCCGCCGGCCGCAACCGTAGCGGGAGTCGGGGCGGGGGCGAGGTCAGCAGTGCCCCGCGCCGGGTGGCGAACCCAGACAAAGGAGGAGGAGCCGCCCGAGGAGCGGGCCAGCGCCGCCGGGAAAGGAGGCCACCGTCTCGGCCGCAGCTGGGGGTCGCCCGGGCCCTCGGGCCGCCGCGCTTCCTCCGCGGACGCCGCGCGAGGCGAGGCCGCCGGGGCCGAGGAAACCGCCCCCGGAGCGCCCGCCCGCCGGCGCCGCCCCCGAGCCGCCTCGGCCGGAGCTGCGGCCCGGGCGGGAGGAGGCGGCGGCGGCGGCCGGCGAGGCGAGGCGAGGCGAGGCGAGGCGGCGCGGCCCGCTCCCTGCCTGTCAGGCCGCCGGCCCGGCCCAGCTCGGTCCGCGGGCCGCCCCCGATGCGGAGGCGCTGCAGCCGGGGCCATGCAGCAGGCGCCGCAGCTGTACGAGTTCTTCAGCGAAGAGAACAGTCCGAAATGGCGGGGGCTGCTGGTCTCGGCCCTGCGGAAGGTCAGTGCTGGTGCCCGGGCGGCCGCGGGGGCTGCGGCGGCTGAGCCGGGCGGCAGGCGGGCGGGGGCGGCAGGCGGGCGGGGGCGGAGGGGGGCGGCGGCGGCGGCGGCGGCGGCGGCGGCGGGGGGGGGTGGGGGGGTGGGGGGTGCCGGGCCCGAGCCCCGGCCCGCGCGGGCTTCTTACGGGGACCTGCGCGTTCTCCCAGTGCTCGGGTCCCGCGGGCCGAGCCATTGCTCAGGGGCTGGCTCTGGGGGGCTCCGAATTGCCTGTTGCATCCAAAAGGACGTTTTCTCAAGTTTTTGCCTGGCCCCGGAAGGAAGGTTTTGTTATGATCGTAAAAATGGATTTCATGTTGCAGTCGTTTCGTCAGGCAACTTCCGCCGTTGGCCAATTTGTTGTCCTCAGGCTGGATTAGGGCAAGAGAAAGTGTCGCTGGTGTTTACACAGTTTCTGAAACAAAAGTTCATATCCAGGCCCGGTAATTACTTTTAATCAGGCACTTTGGGGGTGTTCCTTTAGGCACTTGGCTTGTCAAGAGCGTCCACTGATGAGGCAGTACTTACTTTTTCGTACGCTCGATGTGTTTCACGTGTGAAATGTCAGGGAGCCCTAACACAC